CGCTCGTGGACCACTAGGCGTCGCTCGCGGACCGCCACGGGTCTCTCGCAGACCACTAGGGGTCGCTTGCAGACTGCTAGGAGTCTCTCGCGGATCACTAGGGGTCTCTCGCGGACCACTAGGTGTCACCCTAGGACCACTAGGGGTCGCTCGTGGACCACTAGGGGTCTCTAACGGACCACTAGGGGGTGCTCGTGGATCACTAGGGGTCGCTCGCGGACCACTAGGGGTCGCTCCGGACCACTAGGTGGGCGCTCGCGGACCACTAGGGGTCGCTCACGGACCACTAGGGGGCGCTCGCGGACCACTAGGGGGCGCTCACGGACCACTAGAGGTCTCTCACCGATCACTAGGGGGCGCTCGCGGACCAATAGGGGCCGCTCACGGACCACTAGGGGTCTCTAACGGACCACTAGGGGGCGCTCTTGGACCACTAGGGGTCTCTAACGGACCACTAGGGGGCGCTCACGGACCACTAGGGTGTGCAGTTTTCTGTGAAGGTTTGTCAGGTGGTTTGTTGTGTGTCTGAGTTCTGTGGATCCAAACCTTCAGTTTCTGTTGATCTCCTCTCTGCTTCTCCCTGGAGACGATGAACGAGGAGAAAGGAGGGAGGAAACAGAGTGCAGGAGAAAGGAGGAAGGAAGCAGGAGAAAGGAGGGAGGAACCAGAGTGCAGGAGAAAGGAGGGAGGAAACAGAGAGCAGGAGAAAGGAAGGAGGAAACAGAGATCAGGAGAAAGGAGGGAGGAAACAGAGAGCAGGAGAAAGGAGGGAGGAAACAGAGTGCAGGAGAAAGGAGGGAGGAAACAGAGTGCAGGAGAAAGGAGGGAGGATCCAGAGAGCAGGAGAAAGGAGGGAGGATCCAGAGAGCAGGAGAAAGGAGTGAGGAAGCAGAGTGCAGGAGAAAGGAGTGAGGAAGCAGAGTGCAGGAGAAAGGATGGAGGATCCAGAGAGCAGGAGAAAGGAGTGAGGAAGCAGAGTGCTACTAGGGGGCGCTCGCGGACCACTAGGGGGCGCTCACGGACCACTAGGGGGCGCTCACTGACCACTAGGGGGTGCTCACGGACCACTTGGGGCGCTCACGGACCACTAGGGGTCTCTAACGGACAGCTAGGGGGCGCTCGCGGACCACTAGCGGTCTCTAACGGACCACTAGGGGGCACTCACGGACCACTAGGACCAGTGAGCACATTTCTTAAATACATTGATAAATACTTATATTCTGTTGAAATCTCTTAAATATTGAAGTTTCACAGAAAGGATTGGGTTAAAGGTCTTTTCTGTTTCACATGAGTTTGAATTGGAGCCGCCACAGATCTCCTTTGGAGACAGTTGTTGTCCTGATGGTTATTCACATCATTGATCTAACTTCCTGAAACCTCGAGGAGTGATTACCAATAACATCATAGGGGTTTGGGTTAAGCTTTACATGTTCACATGTACTCTGAGAGGACGTGTTCACATGCACTCTGAGAGAGTGTGTGTGTGTGTGTGTGTGTGTGTGTGTGTGTGTGTGTGTGTGTGTGTGTGTGTGTGTGGAGATTTCCGTGTCACTGCCCTGTAGAAGCTCTGCAGGAAATGAGGTCACCTGAGGCAGAAAACACCTGCAGCCGAGACACATCTCTTCATCCTCCTCTTCTCTCAACGTCTCTCTAACTAAAACACATTCCCACCTATCCTACCCCCCCCCCCCCATGTTATCACAGCCCCACAGCTGACTGCATCCCGCACACTGCTTATTAAACACACTCAGCGTCTGACATGTTTCCATCTGCACCTCTCAGCGGTCGGGCTGGGATTAGATCATCCCAGTAGCAACCAGAGGAAGAGGGGGGGGGGGGAAATTCCAGTGGCGTTGCATAATCAGGTGATCCAGATGTAGCATTGTGTTCGGGATGAAAGACATTCCTGCAGAGCGTTCTGATGTCTGGGACTGCATGACGGCACCTTTTGTTATTGATGATCTGCAGAAGATACAGCAAAAAACGATTGTCAACCCACAGGTAAATAAAATGTGTTATTGTTTAATTGTAAAATATATGTTCCTAGTACTTCATAAAAAAAGTCCATTTAAAATGTAAATCAAAACATAACAAGTAAATGTGATAGGTAACTAGCAATTCAACGTATTAAAACAATTAAAATACAAGATTCTCCCCACCAAATATAGTGGAGTAGAAGTTTAAAGTGACATTTAATGAAAATAACAACCAATTTTTAAACTAGTGTCCATTTATATGTACAGTATATGGAACATTCTCAATGTTAATTACATGTACTCTAAAAGTTGTCCTTAAGTACAGCACTGGAGTAAATGCTATTTCCCAAAACACACACACACACACACACACACACACACACACACACACACACACACACACACACACACCTCCCCATGTCTCATCCTCTTTGTGTGTGTTCACAGAGCAGCGAGGTGACTGAATACATGACGACAGGCTCAAAGGTTGCAGGGTATCTCCATTAATGTATAAAGAGTGACTCTCTCTCTCTCTCTCTCTCTCTGGTAACTCTACACCTCCTCCGCCAAAAACAATAGACCACACCTCCATCTCTCTCTCTTACTCAACCAGCTTGTGACCATATAAGGCAAAAAAAAGAGCATGTGGAAGGCTGCTGCTGCTGAACACACACACACACACACACACACACACACACACACACACACACACACACACACACACACACACACACGCTCCTCTGACTCAGACCCTGAAACTGTGGATGTTTGCTGTGTGTGTTAGAAATGACCTGACACTGAGCCAAGTGTTTTAGCTGTGTGTGTGTGTGTGCGTGTGTGTGTGTGTGTGTGTGTGTGTGTGTGTGTGTGTGTGTGTGTGTGTGTGTGTGTGTGTGTGTTCATATTCTTTAGAAAAGTAAAAGTGTGTGTTTACCATGATGCAGGCTGCAAGTGTGTTCAAATCAAACTTTATCGATGTAGTGCTTTTTATACACAAAAAGTTACACAAACAAAAAAAACATTAACAATAAAAAACAAATCAACATTTTGTTTATATTTCAAAAATATTATATATTTAAATTGGATAAATTGTCCAAAAAAAAAATGTCCCCCAGGATAAATATGGTATTCTGTTTCAGATTAATATTTGTGAACCATGAAATGTTTTTACATTAAAAAGTCTGATTATCTAAATTATCGACATATCGTGACAGCTCAAGAAAAGTACAAATACTGATATTTTGAGTACTGTACTTGATTCATACTTCGTGTGTATGTGTGTGTGTGTGTGTGTGTGTGTGTGTGTGTGTGTGTGTGTGTGTGTGTGTGTGTGTGTGTGTGTTCATGATTGTGACTGTGTGTGTGGGAGAGAGCGAGCGACTGCACCAACAACACCCAGTCAGATCTGGCACGGCCTGAGAGCAATCTGTGTTTATAGTAAATACATGGCAGTATTTATATTTGAAACACAAGCTGTCTTCCACCTTGTTAGCTCCGCTCTCTGTTCCAGACAAATACTGCCGCAGGGACGCACAAAGCCGCCTCTGTTTCTGTTTACATCTCTGCCATCCTTTCTCTCATGCAACACACACATGACCTACACTTACGTCCGAACAGCAACATTTTCCATGGCTTACTCATATTTACTCATAGTAGTCAATATTGGTCTATAATATATTCCTATTTATTCTGTATTGTGTCTGTATGGTACTCTCTTATTTAAACCTTTTCATTTTCTCTACTGCTGTTTGTAAGGTGTATACTGCCTTACACTGTTCATACTGTCAGATGTATATGTTTATATTATACTAGGAATAACTTTACTTCTTGTTTTGCACTTCTGGCCGGTCTGCATTTGGTTGTCTTAGAACTTGTGCAATAACAATAAAGCTGAATCTAATCTAATATTGGCTGCACTACAGATTGTTTCAAGACAATCCTTGCTATAAATAAGCCGAGACTCTTAACAAAAGAGGGAACG